GAGAAAGCTAAATTTATTGAATTTTGAAACGCAAATTGGTTTAAAGTTAGAAAATGTTTTAATGCCAAGACTACAAAAAATAAACCCAAATATACATGTGTCACAGAATTTGATCCTTTAAAACAATAACACGAAGAATTTCTTTTTTTTTTTAAATCAAACTTTTGATAACAGTTTTGACATTTTCCTCTCAATAACTATCATGATTTCTCCCATTTTTTTCTTGTTCACCTACCATAGAAGCTCTTCTCTTTCTTCTTACCATTTTTTCTACAATCTCTTGACTCATATTATAAGTTGCAGTTGAAGAAAGTGAAAGAGGGTCATTAATATTGTTCATGAAAGAGAGAAATATCTCGTTGGGAACATTGATGTGTATGCAACCTTGAAGAGCAAGCCGACTTATGGTTATTTTCAAAATCGACTTATGGTTATTTTCAAGGATTGTAGTTTTTTTGGATTTGGGTCATTTCGAAAATAACTATTTTGTGGTTATCAGTATATTATATTATACTATCAATTTAAATCTCGATAAAACTACTTTACAGTTATTTTGAAGGATCATGTTTTTCAGGATTACGTCTTTTATAGTTTTTCGGAGCTTTGATTAATGTCTTGAAAGGTAAACATACCAACTAAATAATCGGGCTTTGAATTCCTCCCAAGACGACATCAAAATCAATGAAGTCTGAATAGGCTGTCATAATTAGAAGAAAGTACCAAAGATAGTACTTCAACACCATGAAAGAGAATGAACAAATATATCATGAGTTAAGTGATCAAGTAAAAGAAAACATAATTTATAAAGAAAAAAACAAAGTTTTAAGATAACATTTTCGCTAGGATAAACAATCTCCCAATCATAGTTGGATGATATTAAACACGAAAATAAATTAAAAGATATATTAATGAGAAGAATGGAATCAGTGAACGTTAAAGAAAATATGTTCCAATAATTCAAAGATTGTAGATCACCTACTCAAATACGTTCCATTATTGGACTAATAAGGGATATGATAATGAGAAGAATGGAATCAAAACGCATATGAAATATATATCTACGGAAGAAAGAGAACAAATTGGATTAGCTAAACTGTCGACATGATTATTCGAGAGTTAAGCTACAAGAAAATAAAAAAGACATGGGTCAGTTAGGTTTATAAACATATCTATTTAGCCTAATATTTTCTTGCGCTTAAAACAAAAAAAAATGGATATACCAACAAAGTTCATGGATATAAGTTTAGTTTATGCCCAGGGGCGGAGGTAGGTTATACAAGGAGGGGGCAGTTGCCCCCCATAACTTTGTACAAATTAGTGTAATATCTAAAGAGTTTTGGTTATGCCCCTCATTGATAATTTATATTTTGCCCCCATCTTTTTATTATTTGGCTCAAATGTTTAAAAAAAAACCAAAAATAATTAGTCTAAAATCTAAATGTTCAACAAATAAATTACATGAAAACTCATATATCAAGTAACTAAACATTATAAACTACGACTAATAACTGTTAATTTTGTAACTATTTTTTCGTTCTATATTATTTAGATGATATTGTATATTTTTTACGTTTGGTATACATTTGCCCACAATGAATTTTTCTTCTGGATCCGCCACTGTTTATGCCAATGCAAAGCCTTAAGCAAAAGCTTCAAGACTTACATGAACGCCTCCCAAAGGAAAAAAATAATTATCTTTAAATATACAGAATAACAACACAAAGCAATTGGCCTAGGAAAAGCAAGTAAGTGTTCAAACCTCATGTGTAGGAAGTCCAGCTCTATCCAAACCCAAGACTGAGATCCATATTATCAAATCGACTTGTGGTAAGTCTTCTATAGGTTGAGCTCCAAAACGTCCTAAAAAATATAAAGAAAACATCAGAGGCATGAAAACAACAATAAAGCGAGCCAGATGATTACAATTTATAAAACCTAAAAACTGCACTAACGTACGTGTGGTGAATAATTTTTGTTTTCTCTGTGTTGAGACTTGAGAGTAGTATTTATAAGAACAACTAAGATTCGTTTAAAGAAAATAATATATTCAAACAGTCATAACTCAGAACTAAAACCATAACAAAAGCCAATTTGTCTAGTCCTCTTCGTCTTTTATTTTACTTTTGGTCCCCTCCCTCTTCTTCGATAAGAAGTTAGCCTTCTACGGTGTATTCTTTTTGATTTTTGATTTCTACATGTTCTTTAAGCTGTGCACAGAGTGTTGTTCTTCTCTTCTTTCTCCCGATAATATTGTTTAAAAAAAAAACAAATGCATATCATAAGAAGACTTGTAATGATCACATTAACCAAATATGATTAGTCCAATTTTGTACCTACCTTTTCTGTAGAGCACCACTTTGAAGTGCTTCTATAATGTAATCTTCCACTGTTTAAAGAAAAGACAGAGGAGCCTGAAACCAGTTTTAAAAACATTGTTCTATTGAAGTGACCAATCTCGCTTCATTTTTATCACAAGCTGTTAAGAACATATTGTAACAAGGTCGGAAACTTTGGAGTACCCATAAAAACCAGCCATATTTTTAGCATGTAGTGAAAAAAACCTTTAACAGTCAAGTTTAAAGCAGTTTGAGAATTAGTCTAGCTTTAGAGCTTTTACCGGTTGGCCAGCCCGTTTTTATATGTTTAAAACTTTACATGCAATATGTCATTGACATCTCAAAAATCTGACTTTAGAACAGAGAGATATACTTTACTAATATCCAATAGAAACCAAATTGATACTAAACCATAGAAAGGAGATTTTTAATACACAAACCTCGCCAACAAAATTAATA